TCTACTGTCGTGCTTGTCCTGGATAAGATATCAGGGGCACACCGATTATTTACACATTACGTAATTCACAGTATTATGCACCAACACCCTCCGCGTGTCCGCCTCCCCTTCAATGCAAAGTTCACAACGGATGCGCATGTCAGCCACAGCTCGTCTCACCAATGCAGGGTCTTGTCGTAAGATGTCGACCTCCTGTTGAATGCGACCTCGTAAGTCTTAGATGTTACGTGGTGGACTGGACCTTCAGATACCTCCCATGAAAAATAATCACACGGGTTGAGATCCGGAGAACGGGGCGCCCATTCAATTGAATGGTTAAGAGCAATTACTCGATCTCGGAACCGTTCCCACAGGAGATTCCTCACAGCAATGAGCCTGTGTGCGGGTGCCCCATCTTGGGCCCACAAGAGGTGTCGGAAAAAAAACATTTTCATGCCGTTGAAAATGCATCTGAAGTTTGGGTACCACGTCTTCGTTGATCATGTGAAAGTACCGTTGACCATTCACATTCCGTTCGAAAAAGAATGGTCCGATAATGGCACCATTCCCACACAGTCCTACCCAAACGGGAGCCCCCTCCCCCCCAATTCAAAGTTGTTGTTATGGGTGTTAACTTCTCCGTTCATCCCAAATGCTGCCTCATCACCGATTGTCAACCATTCAAGAAACCTTCCATTGGCCTGACAGCGCTCCAGGAGCCACTGAGCAAACTCCCGTCTCCTCCTGAGGTCTCCATGCAAAAGTTGGTGGCGGATGTGCATTCGGTATGGATGGAACTTGCAGGTCTTACTGCGTTATCCGGTTAAACGAAGAATGGGACAGTCCAAGTCCATTCCTCCTGCAACTGGTTCCCCTTGGCTGTTCGACAAGTTGCTGTCTAACTGCAGCAATGTTTTCAGGAGTTCGCACTGTGCGCCTCCTTCCCGAATGACCTGCATTCAACTTATGGCTTGTCCCATGTTCTCGGTATTTGCGCACATTTTCCCAGATGGTCGACTTTGCCGGTGGATTCCTATCAGGGAAAGCTTACCGAAATGCAGCTTGGGTGGCTTAAAAGCTCTTGTTTTCAAGAAATTTCGTCACGACAAACACTCTTTGCTCTTTGGTAAGTTGCACCATGTTGCAGACTTGCTGTCCTGCTGCGAACACTTTTACAAGACTGCACTGGCCTCGGGGCAAGTCAACACATTTAAACCAGATTATTGCATAACTTGAAAGTGTCAAAAGGCAATGTTCCCTCATTAACATGACCTTTTGTTGTCACTTTCAACCAGGACAAGCATGACAGAAGACAAACTCATTCACTGGTTTATCCAAAGTGTTACAACTGAGTTTGGATGGCCCATTTTCAAGACAATGGTGTTCAGTCATGCATGACAGGAGGGATACCATCAAGGTGTCATTAGAAAGAATACCGCTTCTACTTTTCGGAGATCCTTATACATTACAATCATATCTCAAGGTTTGGGCATATTAACTCGTTTGATAAGGGTTTGGTGTTTTTTCTGGGACACCCTGTATAGGGATTGGACTTGTTGGGGGTACCCCTCTGTCCCATTTCGTGCCTGGTATATAAGACTTTCCTCTATGATAAGACGTACGGTGCTCTTACAGTACCTCAAATATTATTCTTCAGGTGTACTGATGAACTCTCTAGTTGCAAAATCCTTTGTAGGGTACACTGCACTTAGACTACACGGGCTCAGTTTCAAATTGAGCACTCCTCGATTCTGTATTCGCGCACTATCTTAAAAGGGCATAATTTGGGAAGTTACATGGGCGGTATCATAGCACATACAGCAGTTCGTGGTAAATTTTAATCAAGAAATGCCGTCTCTATCCCTGGCAATGATTGAGACATCCCACCGCAGAGCGGTTTCACAAATATATCTACAGGTAACGAGAAAACAAAACAAACTAAAAGCACACCTCCCCGAAAACTAAACATCACGTCACAAAACAAAAAAAAAGGGAACAAAACACACACAAAATCTGACCACAACATTTCGGCAAAAATAACGACAGTTATTAAACTCAGCCTGAAAAAAAGCTCAGGGGTCAGGCCGTATCATTTCGACACCACACCCCGTGGGGCCTTGTCCAAGCCAGATGTGTGAAACAGTATCATTTCCGTGGTGTACATGGCGACGCGACGAACCAGGTGTTGCATTGTATATTGTTCGACCCACAAGGCGGGAGTTCGGTGACGTATATTGGGAACTAGGATAACGTCATAGAGCAAGGCACGATCACTTATCTGTTGCCACCACATAGCATACCGCGTTCAGTTCTAAGCCTATTTACACGGTTTGAACGCTGCGCTATAAGCAGAGAATTATAGGACGTCATCGAGGGCAGAATAAACAGCGGTATAATGACTCATGAACCGGGAATATCAAAACAGGCTTGAGAAAGAACGTCTGGGAAGATGTCATGAGCCTGTTAAAGTAATGGGTCCCAAGGATAAAAACTAGCAAATGCTGTGAAGTTCAAGCAAACTGCAAAATCATTTACTGAGAAGTAAAAGCATTAAGAATAAACAGTTGCTTGAATTTGTATGCATAAAATGTTTCTTTTACTGTTCAGCACCTGCTTGTACAAATAGTAGCAAATGCTTTATGCTTGTGGCTGACTTCACAGCCGAATGGTTTTGCACAATACAGGGTTTCCATTGTCTGCACGTACAGACACACACAGTGCAGCACGGTGCTGTAATAACATTCTTGAGACCTCAGCATGGCAGATAAGCACGATGGCAGTAATTTTGATCGCAAAAACCTTGATGAAGAAAATTGCTCTGCCACTCTCAAATCGGTACAACTGCCTGCACCTGGTTTCTTGAGATTCCCTCCTTAAGGCATACAGCTTTTCCTTTCGAATGACATTCATGAACGCTGCCATTTTGAACATTAGTAAATGCTCCTCGTTTTCAAGCTTGCCCTGACCCAGTCTTGAAAAATGTCAAGTAAATACTCCAATTCTGTAGAACTGACTCATTTTTACTCATACAAAACGAAGCAACTGCTTATTGTCAAGCACAGGTTTATAGAGTAAAAAGTAAATACTTTTACTTTTTAGCGATTGCACTAAAGTAAAAGCATTTTCTTCGTTATTATTCATAAAAACAGGAGTATATGCTTCAAAAATGGTAGTAAAAGCAAATGCTACTTTTTATTCATACGACCCAATGTCCCGATGGATTGGGTCATTTTTCAAAGGAGAGATATAACGTACGGCGGCATAGAGTCTTCCTCCGTGAAAATGTGGCGGTGAGCATTGGCACAAACGAGGGAGGCACGTGTACATACATTGCATATGCAGCCTCAAGTGTATTTCCTATTACCACTTAAAATCGTCTTCATATAGATGAAATGCATTTTGTGATTCGATCAGGACATCACCTTAGAATGCATGATTTAAAAGCACTCAGAAAAACATGAAGCATATCTGCTCGACTTAGATGTAATCTACTACTGTACTTACTTGTGGATGGCACTGAGGAATTTCCGTTGGTGTTTTCGTATTCGTCTGGAGCTAACGTTTTTCACGAGTTTGGTGTATTTATAGATAAGCCACGTCTCTCGAAGAACATTTGCAGCTGCGTTCTTTAACTGAAAGTCGTATAAAAAGACAGACAGTTTTCAAACATTTTCTATGGACACATTAAACATTTAAATCAGGAAGAGTTTACGATTCGGGAAGGGCTAGATGCATAATTCCTTTTAACGAAACAGTATCCAAACATTTAGCTTTCTTTAATAACCCCAAAACATGAAGTCTAATATACCGTATCTCGGTGAGTTCTTAGGTTCTGTTTTGTGGATCTGGAATAAATGTCAATAGGGGGATTGTTTAAGGATGTTCCTAAGAAGCAATTTCTTCAATGGGTCCAATTGTAATACAGCAAAGAACATGTCCGATGTTGAAAAATTCGAACGGGTTCAACTCCCGTTGGCATTTCTGGAGAAGAAATAAACACTATCAACCCTTTCGTTCAAGCCAACCACGTCCTTGTGAAAATGATACACTTCCCTGGTACCCCATTCTCTCCCCTAAATTAAACCCTTCAATCTTTGATGAGCAATGCAGTTGCGGCCGCACATAATAGCAAATTTCCTCGATCCCAGGGGTAGGATCGATGAGTTCAGGTGCAACCAGTTGATCGGGTTACGGCTCGCTGCGTGTAACGCGAGGCTCTCGCAATATCGATCCCACAGTCCACCTGGTTACTTCGTCATTCATTGTGAACCCCCCCCCCCCGCATGTGATGCCATATCCATTTCTATTGTGGATACTATAAACACTACAGGTTTTCGTTACCGTTTTTGCAAATTATAGTCGTGATCACACACCCTGAACTAATTTATGTCTTGTTGTAAAGCATCAACAGACACATTAATTTGATGTCTTCTTCATCACCCGACAGTCTGTTTTCGAATACCGAACAGGTTTTTTTTCTTATCTTGGTAAGCAAGTTTTATTTCTAACATCTCGGTGCATTGTATCTAAACGTGTCATACTTTCATAATTCTGTTGATTATGAGATCGTATACGCTTGCCAACGCAGTATCATCAGATCTTGGGGCGGATCCAAGTATTTTTCTGGGAGGGGGAGGGGGCGAAACCCGTCATATTTTCTTTATGTCCGATAGTTGCGAACATGTGGACACATAGGGCCCAGGTTGTGCATTATATTGTTACTGATATACAAATAATAATCCGTCCAGGATGTCATCTTTTTATTATTACTATTATTGTTGTTTGATCGATCGATTGATTTGTTTGTTTGTTTATGTAAACGGTGTCAGAGCAGGGGTGGGCTGACCTCCCCAACTCTCCCAGATCCGCGCCTTTCTTGATTCAAGCACTTCAAACAGCCGTCAGCTGTAACTGCGCCACTTCTCGTGATTAATGAAAAAAAAATCTCATTATTTTGTAAATGTGTCCGTTCACTATAATGACGACGATTTATTGCAATGTGGTTGAATTTTTTTTGTCGGAAATATCCCTTTTGACCAGGCTTGGAAATTTATACGTAAATTCTGTGGGCTGGAATATACCCAAAAGAAACCAAAGCAGACAGCACCACACTGCAGAGTCAAAGTGTAAAAACCATCGCAAACTAGGGCACATTCACATCATATAAACACCACAGGCGTTGCTCTAAAAATGTTTCGCATTTAAAATGAATTGCCAATGTGACGAATGTGCCTCCATTTCAAAATTCACCTAACAAATAGACAAGCCGGATCAGTCTTAACTCACCCTTTTTGTCAACTGTGTGTCCATCATAAAATTATGTACATGTTTCTCAGCTCGGCTGAGTTCTAATTTTGTCGCCAGAACAGCAACTACAAGCGCCGTGCAACCAGCACCCTGGGAGAAAGAGGGAAAAAGAGATAACCATACAAACATAAAATAGTTGTAGCTCATTAAAAAATAGTCAAACACCATTCAAGGGATGTCTTGAAGACTTTAACAGTCCCCTTTGCGTCATACACGATAGTAACAGGTCGGCGCAAAGGCTTGTTTTGGGATCTTACGCAACTTGTTTGGACCTTGGCAGCCCGCGGCAGAGCACCTCTAAGTGGTCTTTTTCGCGTTTCCAAAATTCAGGAAAAATTGAAAAAAAAAGGGGGGGGGAAAGACAAAAAGAAAGAGACACTTTCCAGGGAAATAACCGTAGGCACGATTCGGTTTCTACTCCTTGACAGCAGAATGCCATCGCATCCCGGGGTGACTTCTCACAAACATTTTCAGGCGAGCACTACCGGTTTGACGTCACAAACGGTTGGAGGCACCGGAAATTCTCGCCAGACAGCATGTATAATAGGTTATATTCCTGGTAAATACAGCCACCACGCTGCACCAGTTATGCACCATGATAGTTTGGTTGATCGGTTTGAAATCAATAAACGCAATTAGGAGGTAAAGTCTGCAACGACAGGATACGCATGGGTAGACTAATGTGTTTGTGTGGAGGATCAGATCCAAGTTAAAGGGGAGATACACATGGTCCTCGTTCAATTCAACTCTTTTCAGTGTCTAGAATACGAGTTCTGCCATATCATGAGTAAAAAAAAATCTCAAAATATGGAGGGCCTGACGTTTCGATCCTAGCAGAATCTTCAGGTAACTGTAGTCATAAAGCAGTTTGCAGCAGTTTTGTATTACATATCTTTGAAGTAAAAAAAACAGATGTACGGTGGAGGCACGCGACTCTTCAACATGGCGGCAAACTGCCTAAAGTACGTATAATACAAACAGCCAGACTATAGGTAAGATAACAGACAGTTTTTCTGGATTTCCATGGTCTTCCAAAAGGGGTAGGCTCTGACCATGCGCAGTCAAAGGACTCCAGCACGTGGACAAAACCCGGATGGCACAGAAGGATGAGAATTGAAAGTCTGGTGTTTGCGGCATCATAGCGTCATTTTCAATAAGTCAATTCGGTATTCCAAGAGCGCATGCCCAAATCAGTCGAAGCCCGTCCGAGATCATTTGGGAACAGCCGTACGCGCGCGCGACAGTCTGCCCTATCAACACGGCCAAACACCGACTCACACATGTGCTTTGCTCTTGAATGACCTTGCCTTTTTGAAATACCGAACTGACTCAATGGAAGACCTAGATTCGTTCCTCATGGGTTTGGTTTACTTCGCTCGCCCCTTTCCCCGAAAAAGAGTAAATACTTGAACAAGTTGATTTGAAGGTGTCCAGGGGACATGCAAAAGGTCGTAAACTTTGGCGGCGACCTGTTACCTCAAGTTACCCACAATCCTCTACTCTTCTGTACCAACCTCGTTCCCATGGACACGATCTTGTCGCGTTGTGTTGGTTCCAACCATGCCTTGCGTGACCTTACTCGCGTATTGTGAAATTTGAATATCCCACTATTTGGATAATTCAAATTAGAACAACAGTCGACGTGTTTGCGTGTAACGTGCAAGATTTAACTTGGGTGCCGGTGCTGACAGGGCGTGTAACCTGTCAAAGTTCACTTTACATTTACGTTTATAAATTCTGAATAGCCACTAACCGTGCCTATTGAAGGAGCGCGCAGGTAGCCCTTGAAGTCGAGGTTGTGTTAGGAGAAGTGGGTTACACTGTATGGGGAATCGATGCATCTCATGCTAACACACCCACCATTATTTTTTCGCGCGTGAGTTTACCAACTGACACTCACTAACTGTAAAATAAATAGTTGGAAACCTGTTTCGAATTTCATGGTAGCCGTGGGCAATTTGGTTGGGGCTTTGCCATACTTGGACTATTTCACCTTACAATATTCTTGCCGGCAATTAAAGTCCACCATAATGTTTGATATAATTATTTTTTTCTTTGTATTCCTTATACTAGGCTTTTTATATGCAGGCATACCCTTAGCCCAAATGGCAGCTTGTCATCACAACGACCTTTCCTTCCCATTTCAATCGACTCCCCCTGAATTAGGTCGGAATATCAGTTTCACTACCCGCCCCTTCTTTGCCCAGACATCTTTTATTACCGAGGTACGGTGCACTGAGACCCGTGGCACGGAGCAGAAAATAAAAAAATGCCGGCAGAAGTAGGCCAACTGCCCTGGGACAAGCCTCCGCGTGTAGAAGCCGACTGCCAAGCGATGCGAGCTGACCGATCTTTCAGTGTGAAAATTTTGCAGCAGAGAGGTTCATGCATACACGGCATTTTAATTGGGGGGAGGGACAGAGTTCCCCGTACTTCCCCTGCATGACGTTACCTTAGTACACTTTTCCTACACACGGCGTGTACGGTAGAAGGAATGTCAAATGTCATACATACGACCTGGGAAATGCGTACAATTAAAATGCTACCTCCAATTAACTCCGTGGCCTCGGATTAAATTGTCTCTGCAGTAGCTAATGAACGGTTTCCTGCACGTGAACTTCTCAGATCCCAAACGTGGCACGAAGATACATATAGGTTGTCATTTCCTTCTTTGTTGTCAAGGAGCAAGCGAAATCAAGGAAAACATTGCTATTTGACCCTATCCAGCAACACGTAATGATTCAATTGTGAAAAGTAATTTACCGATGCGATAAAACCTAAGAAGTAGCCACTGGTAGCCCGCACGCGCATCCAACAATGTTGATGCAGCTGTCCGAATAACGAACAACGACTAATTCCTTTAAGTTCACGGGTATACGTCATATCTCATTCCAAGGGCGCGTTTTAGCTATTAAGAACCGCACACTGTTTCACATTTTGACAGTGTGAGGAATTCACAGGACGCTGCAGGGAAACCGAAGAGGAAGTGCGGTGCAATAATGCCCTTGAATTATTTTGTAGGAGGAGGTTTTTTGATTTCTGTGTTCGTTTTTGTGATGCTGTGCATTAATGACCAGCCATAACTTACTAATAGTTTCTTGATTGCTAAAATAAGACCCTATTTAATTTCTCAATTACCGTTTTGAATATTACTCAGAGATCTTTCGGTTCTTATAAAAATAGTTGTTATGGAATTTACTTCTTCGAAGTAATAAGGAATCAAATTGAATGTTGTGAGAATGTGGGCAATGCTGAAAGTTTCTGAAAATATTGATATTTTCCCATACATAATAACTGATTGTTTTGCCGTGCATCTAAAAATCACTTGTTTTTTTTCAACTTTAACGCCCTATGTTGACAAAATATTACCAAGCAAGAGCCAGGTCTTGCCTCGAACAGGAAATGTGGTGCGCGCCGTAGCGCAGTGAATTAATGTGCGGTGAATGTACATCCCTGTCCACATATATTCATATGCCACAATTTCCCAAAATGATTTATTTCGATGTACCGTCACTCGAGTTTCTCCCAAACAACACCACCCACGCAATTTATTCCGTAACACAAGGCGCAGAATTATTACTGTAGCTTTTGACTACGCATCAAATGAAAATGGATGACAAAACAAATGATGATATTTTCCCATCAGCTGATTTACATTTTCCATTCCCCGATTTACATTCAAATTAGCTGAAACGGCAAAGGAAGGGGCGTCTGAATGCTAATCATGAAAGGGATTTGGTTTCCATAAACTGAAAAAAATTCATATAACCAGAGGTTAACGAAATGTTGGAACAAACAACCTGTGACGGAGGCCTAATACCGAAATGTGTGCACTGAACGCTAGCATAAACAATGTCGGAAGGGCAGTTCTAATCAATTATCGAAACTCAAGTCTTGTTTTCTTTGCTGAAAGAAAGTCTTGCTTGCTTTCCTGTAGGTCATTTTGTTTTGGAAAATCCACTGTTATTTCAACACCGATCTGACCCAAGGTCGTTTGACCTTTGGCAAGGCCACTCAATATATCTGTGAGGGACGCATTTTTATTTTCAAGTTTGGAAATTGATATATTTTGCGCAAAAAAATCAATGGCCAAGAGCTGGAAGGATGCAATGAGGTAAACAGCTAATTATCGTTCTTAATTAAATGGCAGTGGTCTCATCCGCAACAAGGGCGACAATTACCTATTAAAAAAGAACACGCTTTTGTTCTGTGCAACTAACTCAATACAAGCAGCTAGGATACCAGACTACAAACGTGCAAGGTTGGGGCGTTGAACTGCAATTCATTTAGTCAACACCACCAGTGGCCGTAAAGTTTTCACGAATTTCTTAATACCCATTACTGCAATTTCCCGCAGGACTATGGGATACTTTCACAGTGCATCTTTGACAACATTAATTTGAACAGAGGAAGACTGAGCGCGGCTGGGCCACCACCGAATTAATTTTAAACTTAGTTAAGTACTCTCGTCGTTTCTAAGTAATTCTTGGAAACGTATAGGCCTACGCATCCACCGGAGCAGATTCATCTGGATGAACTGGATTTGACATGGAACTCGTTTGCTCTTTCTTATTTTTTCAAAACTTGTGATGAGAATGCTCAGTGAACTAATCCACGGTGACGCCATTACTGCGATGGCACCACACTTACGCATAATTATGTTCTTCAACTTGTGGCACGCGTGCATTTTGGCATACCACGCGTACTTACGTATGTACCAACTGAGCCCGAGCATTGCGCCTGCGCAATAACGGTTCTAATAGACCAAGCTCGTCCCCAGCCGTTACTTTGTGTCTAGTTTGGCTTCCAATGGATGAAGCAACAGCGACAAAACGATGTTATCTCGTGTATTTGGTGTATTACGTGTTTTCACGTCAGGTGAATTATTATATGAACTCTCCCTTTAAAACCCTATCCTTTTCTCCATTTTGATAATAATTAAAAAAAAAAGTGATACTCCAAATTTGTTAAATGAGATTGTAACTTTTGTTTGTCCCAGTATCCCCGATACGACATGTCGCAAAGATTTGGCTCTGTGTTAATACAATACACCGCGTGCTAAAACGAACGCTGATTGAAAGCATGGTCAGGCACCACACTATTCTTTATTTACATACGTATGCACACTTTCTGGATATGCAAACGATCCAGTTCCAAGGTGGTAGAGCATGGGGACGAGGTTGTTGATAGACTTTATTTATGAGGCGGCCATATTGAAACTGAGAGCGAAGTTAATTCTTCTTTTTAAGAACTTGAGAGTAGAAAATGCATACAACAAAATAACATTTCATGACAAATTGTTGCCTGTCTACTCTGCTGAATAATATCAAATTTAAGATTAAATATATCTGAGAGTTTCAAGCTAGACTTTGAAGAACAAAAATAAAAAGGAGGTTTGCACGCATGTCAATTGTAAAACAGTCTGGAACAATCCTATTCAACAGTTCACAATTTGTAAAACAGATTCAGGGAACAAGACCAAAAAAATAGCTTCCTCGTAGACAAGTCTGTTTTGGGCCGTTTTCCAATACTCGACGTGGGCTCCGTCTCAGGCTCCAACTGTTTTTTTTACTTCCTGACTTTGAGGTTGTAAGTGCAATAGTAAGTCTGATAGTGCCGCAAAACGTCAAGTAAGATGCAAAAGAGCCAAACATTACAGTACTTCAATTTAAATTAAACGCTTCCGGCCCACAATCGGGGATTGGTTTCCTACACGAAGCCTGAGACGCAGACGAAATTGAGTATTGGAAAACGGCCCAAGTCTCCAAATTCCATAATGTGACCGAACAGCGCAATCAAAAGGCAAGCATGCGGTTTCATTTGGTTTGAACTGGACAGAACCGGATTGGACCGGTTACTTACCATTATACCTGTAATAACCGAAACTCCCCGCCCACAGTAAGTATTTGGTACCATGTCCCCGTAGCCAATAGAAAGGAATGTAATAGAGACGATCCACATCGCGTTGAGAATCTCCCCGTTGTCTTCATCGTGATATCTGTACAGTCGGGGACAAAATGAAGGGGAAAGAAGAAATATGACAAGGTGAACAAGACTGCGCATTCTAGAAAAATCAAATATGACAAGGTGAACAAGACTGCGCATTCTAGAAAAATCAAATATGGGCTTACGACGGATTTAAGGTTAAACTGAAAAAGATTAGGAGAATGATCTCGCTTTCTCGCTGAAATCTGAAATGATTCTGTTGCCAACAATGGGCATCTCAATCGATGTTTATTAACAAACCGCGAGAACTTAATGGAAATAAGAAGGTATCTTACATCAGGGGACGAGGTAATAATATACGCTTACATGAATGGAAAATGTACAGATAGAGAAAGTACACTATATGTACGGTGCATCCAAGAGATTAAACGTTCCATAATTCTGCTCTCGAAAGTAAAGTGACTTGCCTTAATGAGCTACACATCATAAGTCATATTTAAAAAAATTGCACATTTCATATTTTAGGAAATTCTAGTTGTTTAAAGTATGTTTCTATTTGTTTATGTCCCTCGTACATTGCTTTATGCATTATCACAAAGCAGCGCCAATATACACAATCAACCTAAATCGACTTCCTTACATTTGTCACGACCAGTGTTTGCATTCATGCATCGATGCTGCTAAGTGGCGGAGCTGTGATCAATTAATTGGAAAAGGAGAGTTAAGAAAAGTAAATTAGTGACGGACGGTTAATAAACATCGATTCTCTGGGGCCGGCCCAAGGGGTGTTAATGAGACTTTAACAGTGCTGACATTAGAGAATTCGCCAAAGGAAAAAAAAAGGGATTGCAAAACCCAGATTATATTACATAATATCCTAAAGCATGTTTTACGTAATGCTTTTCACTAGAAAAATCCGTTCTGAATTTTTCCAAGAAGGTATGTAAAAGACACTTTCTTGACACCTCTAGGCACGGGAACCAAATTTCGCTGGAATAAGACAAGAAGGTTTATATCCACTAGTGACGTAGCTAAAGAAACTAAGGTTTATTCTAACTCTGCCCGTTAGGAAACTCTGTCAGTGTTAAGCTCTGTCGTTACAGAGGCCTAAAGTTCTTTTACTTCTTTGAGACTGCTAAAAAAGGAAACGACTCTAGTCTTCGATGCCTAATATGAAAAATACTGGTGTGTACATCAGTCGCTCTCTGCTTAGTGAGAATAACGGAACACCCTTTCGCAGTTTATTTTTGAACCCTCTGCTATCCCAGTGTTGCCGCTTCTGTGGCCTGGCAGCGCTGTTGATGTGATGTCTACTGTACGACACATCGAAACAGAGGGAGGAAAGGCGATTCGGGACTGAACTGAAAATGGAGAAGCGCTGAAGCCATTCACACTGCGCATCTGGGCGCATGGGGACTCGGGCCAGACTGCATCACAAAACGCCAGCCGCAATGGCGCAGTGTCCCCTGGTTTGATCACGCAGTCGATACACCTTGTACAGCATGCCGGCTCCACTTTTTTAAAAGTAATTTCACGGCACTTTGTGCCAAGATCTAGTTTCGAGCTTCCCCAACAACACAACTGTGGTCGCGCGCGCTGCCACCTCCACCCCAGGGGAGAAACTAACCAGAGTGTAATCTAAGTTACTGTTTCTTTACATGTCCGTGCGCACAGCTCAAGTTCTGCGAGGCCGTGTTATTCATCCGAAATTAGACACGCGTCGATGTTTCGATCGTTGTAGTATGTTCTTGAGAAGATAAAAAATAAAATACATGTTTACAGGCTAGAACTTCACCCCTCAGACTTGAAGGGTACTACAGCGATTACAATTTTCTTGGTACCTCAAACTATTAAGTGCCTGTCAAACAATCAAAATTGATCCGATACATCAATTTCGGATGGTCTGATTATAACATTTATAAGTAAGAGAAGGACACTGATCGTATATCAGGAATGAAAAAAACGGGGCACATTAAAAATCACAAAAAAGGAACAAAAAATTCATTGTTTGAACTTCATGTTTGGCAATGTCCATTAAACATGTTAACTTAGTCAGAAAAAATAAGCATTTTTAATATATTATTTGGCTTAACGTGCTTTGCCAAGTAACGGTAAAGTTGCTAAAAAGTTTAAAATTATTGCCACTCCATTCGATGAAGTGGCGATTGAAATAACTTCTTCAGTGCAACCAAAAAGCACTGCAGTAGTCGAACAGATGGCGATGCTGAAAGAATCGAACACAATGCCACAATTACCGAATCCTTGGTAACAAATATTTGTTTTGCAGTTAATTATGCATAGAGTTGATGGAACTTCCCCGCTCGTGATTTACACAGCGTAACTTTAAAAAAAAAACTGTCGATAAAATCTGACACATTGTGGGCATCTGCGTGTCGTGCCACTTCAAGTAGATCCTGTGTTCTTGTACTTAACGTTGGGATAATGACATTTAGATCTACTGAGTGCAGGTTTGTGCTAAACGAACCGCCAACCAGTACAATGTCGATCGCTGTTAAGAACAGACACCCTGGGGGCAGAGTAAACGAGACGTTCCCTCGTCAAAAGCTGGGATTCCTGCATCGATCTGGTTGAAACATTATAGTATTGGCCAGACACGAGAAACTGCTTGCACAGCACAGGTGATCGCTTACTGATCATCTAGGTATTCGCAGAAACTGCGAGATTATGCAGAATTTACCAATGTGGAAGCAAGTGTTGGCACTGGATCTCTTTCCCTCACCTGACCAAAACTTCGTCACTTCTTTCCCACTTGCTGAAAGACGCAAGGAAAAGAACGCGCATTTGAAAGGACAGAGAACAAAGTATACTGTTTTTACTACGTCTACCACTTGTAGGATCGAATTAAACTGTTGTGTGGACCATTGCCACTTGCACTACAAAAACAGGTGATTCGATCCCCTCCGCCCCGAGTAGTTCAATGTGTTATTTAGATTAAATTAATACATTACCATGGGAACATCAGCTAAACCCCACGCGACATTATCCCATGCAATCCAACAAATCGCTGAGATTTAATAAAATGGCTCTAGCGCTGAAGCAACTAAATATGACCAAATTGAAATGAAATGCTTATAAAAGTTTTCCCATCATTTGTGTTAACATTTCATGACCATGGTAACCGTATTTGCGGGCCCTCCCTGTCGTGTAATGACAGATGAAGTCTTAGAGGTGGTGCCAATATAATAAGCCTTAGAGTTTCCCAAAACATCAAACCAAAAAAAGATAGAAGTACAATACCAAGTGGTTACCTGGTGTTGACTCGCCCTACACAAATGAGGAAGAGAATCCATCTCAACCTCAATTCATAAGTCATCGCTCTCCAACGTCATGGCGCCCAACTGGAACAGGTATGTTGATTACCTATGATTACAAATTTTGATCAAATTTGACAGAGGGTTTGATCGTCATTTTTGTTGTGATGATGGAAATTTCCCGTTTTTCGGTGCATGCTTTTACTTGTTCACACAAAACCGTCTGCGTATCAACTCTCTGCAAGTAACACCGTTCCCAAAATGCTGGCCGCTTCTACGTTAAGTACCGCGCAAATTCACAGATGAGCAGTGAAGGCGTTCAGTGAACGTAATCATTTCGATTTAGTGACACCGGCACGGTAACCCAACTTCCAATATCGTCCAATAAGGCGAAGCTGACCCGTCCGAGCGAACAGTCTCGGGTGTGCCGACAAGCCAAAGAGGGTGGCTTTCCCGTGATTGCCGTGCCGGTGATGAGTTACATTACGACTTAACCTGATTACGATCGCGCCATCCCTGCCCTGGTTCCCAGGACAGTTTCCCCGGTCAAATCGTGGACGTGGTAATCCTACTAGTTGATACAATTTCGTTTGATTGGCGAAATGTAATAGCATTACGCCTCATTCGCCTTACCGTTTTCATACAGGAAAAAAAAAGGCAAATAGTGAAATGCGCTCACACGGGATAGGGGAAAATGGCGGGCAGATGAATAAGAAATCCGAGATTGGACTCAGGTTACTTGTTGAAATAATAAGACAAGAATTTGAATTCATATGGCCACAAGAAGCCATCCATTATACAGTGTGTTTGGACACGAAATTCGATCAAACAGGGGCATCTTGTTTTTAAGGAGGGCAGTTCTGTCTCTGGTCTCCTCAGTGAATTCGGCTCATCGTTCTACACGTTCGTCATGCTAATACACTTTTCTATTCATACGGCGACAAAAATCGGACGGGGCCGTCTTGACGTTTTCGAGTGTCCTTCGCCATCCAGCCACACGAGAGAGTTTAAGGTTACACAATGCAAGCTGGAAGCCCATGGCAATATCGCATAAAGCGCCAGCGCAGTCTGTGAGCGGGTACGCTTACAAAGCTGCAAAGACGCTGCATTCATCTATTTTCACCAGGTAAGGGTCAGGAGAACAGTTCATGATACATACATACGATAATGGCAACTTTGGGCTCTTCTTGGGATAAAGCTTTCCTGAATTCAATAAGGAAAACTCTCGGTGAACTTCAGTGGGCTTCAGCTTCTGTGTAGGTTCAACCCGACGTTTCATTCACGCAGTATTACACACCAGTCGTCTTCGGGGGAGAATCTGTCTCACTCTTAGTTTACACTCACGCTTACATGTACATTTGGAATAACATACAAAACACCAGATTTAAGGGAACAAATAACGCAGCAACGTGTTAAGCTTTGGACTGTGAATTTCCAACGAGAAAGAAATTTTCAATGTCACCACGTTAGCCAACAGAGAATTCAGATAATGATCTCAGCTGTCTCCCCTGATATTTTTGTTAACATTTTTAAAAGTTTACCCCTGGAACACATTTTATCTCAATCTGGCAAAGGTGGACTCACCGTCTACGTCTGGATTCGAGGTGTAGGGACACTACATAATTTAATTTTGCTCCTTTCAAGAATCCCGGCACGAGGCCTTATGCAGAATCAATTTCATGTAAAAGCAATTTCAAAACCAGATTAATTTCAAGACGCAAGGTCAGTCCCAGTGTTGGCCTAAGAATTGCCAGCTGCGAAATTCCACTTCCCGGTGTTTTTCCGCTTACATTATATCCCCATCCTCTGTACCATTCTGGATCTGACATTTAATATTTAAATGGTCTTGCTGGTCTAGTGGTCAATAATTGGTGCTGAATTTCCCAAGGGGTGGAAAGGGTAGAGAAAGCCGCCACTGACAATGATGCACGCGCGGGGGGGGTGTGTAGGGGAGAACCAATTCCAATTCGCAATAAACAAAATTGAGGACAGAATTCCTGCGCTCTTTTCAAGTCATGGCTCGGAATGGAGCGCGCGGGAAACTGGAATACTCAATTAGCGTGCTGATACATGCAATCGACGAAAGCCAGAAAATGCTGAATGCTGTAGGTGGTTATGCATTACGGACGGAGCGAGACGCCAGCGCCTTTGGAGAGGAGAACCCGGACACTCCGTGCAGAGATGACACACACATTGCTCAGGCGAGCGTCCGCAATCGCCCAATGTATGTATCTAGGTAAAGTGAATTAAACCAGACAAGTTCGCAACTGCAGCCAAACTGCTCCAGAGACAATCCATCTCAACGTTTTCATTGGGTCAGGGAGTCACCAGACTTCACCTCCAGACACGCTGCGGACTGCGTAGGTGTATTCCGTGTGAGGGAATGATCGACTTCAATCGAAACGAAGTCAAGCAGAATCCGGCCCTCGCGTACACATTATTTGGCTTTCATTCAACGATAAGATTTTGAGGGTGGCAGGCCACCTCAACGTCATACATGTGTAAATTTACAGTTTCTGAACTATTCCAAAGTACGTCATGCGATTATGAACAAGTTAATCTAACTCAAACAGATGACATTGTACGGCGCTGTAACGTGAATTCCTACGTGTCTTCCTATTATGCCAAAAGCATAAATTTCTATATAAGGTAATGCACATGTTATGTCTTATTCGGATTTGCCAATCTCTTATGCATGCATAATAAGGCATAAAGAATTCCTTTGACAAATTGAAATATCCTGTGAGTATTTTCTTGGGCGGTGCAATAATCAAATGATGGTGGTTATTTGTATAGGTTACACACCCCTCCACAGTTTTCCATTGGTCATAATCGTAAACGTGGGATGTGACATGGATTACACATTACCAAAGATCCACTAAGCGTTAGATATTCAAAGTGACGTAACTTTTTCCACCTGACAATAACCCATAACCACTCTGAACCCAATAAGCATTATGCATGATTTCAATGGTTAAGATCTACAGATCTTGAGGATAGTCGTTTCATATCTCATGCATATAAGCAACAACCAACTGCAATTTCTAAGCAGGACCTACATGCATAATTTGGTCGGCTTACATCAAGAGCTCATAGCGTTGACGTCACATTCTTTGGGTGACACCAGGACACGTTCAATATTAATGGTGGTGTCATGTTGAAACAGCCGCAGGGGTTGGATGGGAACGCCATGGATAATAGCCTGTGCCATTTCCCAGGGGTTCTGGGCCGCGTGGCGTATTTGGCCTCATGCATTTTTAAGGACCCTGCCCTCTTTTTTCTCTCCAGATAGTTTCTGTGCAAGCAGACCTGATCGGTAATGGCGTGATCATGCCAGGCTGCGAGACGGGTAAGACAACACCAGCGACACATTATTTTCTTTCCCGGAGGACTTCCCATTGCTGCGCATCTGTAAGGATCCAATCTATCGAAAAAAATATTTCCTGCGCCAAAGGATTCACAGTCTAATTGAAGGGCCATTTTCTACAGCGCTGTATGGAAGTAGGGTAACGTGGCCGTGAGACTTAATACGGGGAGCGAGTCTCCAGAGGGCGCTCGTGGAAACCTCGTTCCCGTCTGTCTTCAAATCTTTGAAGGCAAAATATGTGTTCCGAAATCTGTTTCAGATCTGCAAGATTTCGTTCATTCTGTCGAGCAAAATCCACTCTGAAAAGAGCACTTCCTTCGGATAACTAAAAGCTGAAAGCGATAGGGCCTTGAATTGTTTGAATCCTTCCATTTGGAAACCACATGCAGGGATGCAAATCTACGTCAGTCGTAGATTTGACACTTTAGGGCAGTTTTCCCGTTGGGAAGTCGGAAGAAAGTATAATGGAAGTTTCTTATACATACATTATGTTAACACAGTGACTGCCGCTTGAGGGGGGGGCTATAAAATAAATCCATTTTTAAACCAAAGCGAGCTAGCGCAGATGCCAGTCAAAATAATGTCGCGTCCGAAACGGGCTTCCAAAGCAATGGGTACGTCTTCTGTCAGTATGCTGCATAGGACGTATTTGCTTCTGGAGACCTGGACGTCAGCCCGAGCCACAAGATTCAGGCGCGGAAAACACGGGCCTACCTTTCGCACACGTGAAGAATCCAACTCGCTATAATCCATAACGTGACAGTGAAGACCAAGAGCACTGTTCCCGGAAATATTGTCATTAGAGTTTTCAACACAAATCGTGTGTTGAAGTTGATCCGATTCAGGGCGCCTATGCTCCGGGAGGAGGCGTCCGTGAAGAGTTTGCTGTGCAACAGCATGACCCGGCAAATCAGGTAGAGCCGGAGGAACATGGGGATAGAGAGGAGGATGTCCACGTCGGCTATCGCCGTCCGAGGCTCGTGGGTGTAGGCAAACTCGGCCACCCATTCGAAAAAGTATCTGCCCGGCACCGGGTGGATGACACACACGAAGAGTTCGCAGGTGATGAGAGAGATTCGGGACCACGTCATCGCAATCCGCCATTCGTCCGCACAGTTGTCGACCAAGAAGAGCTACGAAAGCAAATAAGACAAAAAAAGTTACTTCGGCTGGCGAGCCACTGCAGCTATAGGAGTTCAAACTGGAAGGAAAATGTGATTGTCGGAGTTTGTAAAAAACAATTAGCGGTTTTATCGGGCAAAAGATTGTTGCAGCATGCTTTTCTTTTTACAAATGAACATGGTGGCCAAGAATTGCATTTCTTAAAAAAGTGTTAGGGTGGCTGGATAAGAAATTATGGTTGCAGGCAAGTATAGGCCCCAAATTACCTGCGCGGACTTCACAATTTGCATGCCGTGAAATTCTCTGCCATCAGAGCATTTTGTGGTACTTGGACTGGATGGTTTGTAAAAACGAACGATGTAAGCTACCAGCAGGACTACCTGCTTGTGGTTTTTGTTTCTTTGTTTTTAATATTGGTCAAAACACAACCCTCCAAATCACTCTATTTTTCAATGGAGGGTAGGCAAAGTGGCGGTGGACATCATGACTGTTTAAACCACGGGAAAGAAATATCTTCAAATGTCATAGGTTGAGCCGCTAAAAATTGAAAAGAAAATTAAAAGACGGCTACTTGAGCTTTAGTTTCATGTGTGTCTTGAACACCCGAGGAGATGCTGGGTATTTTTCCCGATTTTATTTTTTGAAATGAAAGTATTTATCACAGTTATCTATGGCAGCTTATTTACGGGCTTGCGACCTCATGATGAAGTGAGTGAAAGAAGTTGTGATGCGAAAGTAATGTGGTGTTAATAATTGGTCGCGGATCAATGTGGCAGCCAACGGTAGCGGTGAACAAACGTCTTAATAATTCAGCTGGGCACCGCCTTGACTAGACGCGAGATTTCAGTATGGTTGTGCAAACATCCTGGCGGCCGGAAGATTTCCCTTCGAATTCCTCGTCATCCTGGCTAAGACAAAAGCACCCAGGACTGAAACGATCGCTACTCCGCGCGGCGCGCGCGCCCGGGATGCATATTCGGCATACCGTCTGTCGGGAAGGGGCCACGTGTTTGATTTCCCTTGGAATAAAGTGATGTCGCAAGTGGGAAGGTCAAACCTAAAATAATAAGTCTATACTTAGAAATACTTTGATACCCATAATCTGCCCATTAGGAATAATTGCTTGTTATCTTTACTTTCATATAACGGCGAAATGAGTTCTTGGTAATGCTAATACCAAGGACTACACGGATTTGACTTGGGCGAACAAATTATTCTTACCACGTGAATGAAGCAAGTTCGTTAAGAAATTTCGTTGATGCGTTAAAAAAAATGACACATGAAACATTGCTGCTGACTGGAGTGCGTTCTCGCACTCGTGGATACTCAATTAAATTTGGGTGATTTTCCGCTGCCACACGTTTCTCGCTTCTCACGAATCCAGTACGCAACTAAATTATTTACCGAGCAAAATTAGATTGCTCACTTAAATTAAAAAAAAAAGAAAAGACGACTTGGTTTAATGTACTAAAATTTCCCCTTACAACTAGCCACGCCATGCAGCTGGGTACCTTATACTTAAAGATTTTTTTCTCATCCACATGTCTTCAACATAGCTAGAGCACCAACCTGCCCACACAATGCCATCATTACCATGACAGTCACGCAATAATGTTGGACATGCCTCTCTCTGACGCTGAGTATAGCCCCTGGCCAAGGACCTGATACAAATGACTAATACCGCCCCAGACGGCGTGTACACACCTATATATTTTGTATTGAAGTTCCCCCAAGAGTGGCCAACAGCACGTACACTCCAGAGCCAAAGTGGTAGAGCGAAATAGAGCCATTGGTCATGATCTAAAAAAAGGCACACCCGAACAGCTACGTAACATGAACCATGCCATCCATGAGGCCGATTGGAAGTTAACTGTGACACACTATAATGAGATTGGTCGTAAAAAACATCCACCAAAAGGGACGGGCTCCATAACACATCTATCTACCAGGCTGTACATGTATCCGATTAATACTGAAGGGAAAATTTCAATTCAGAAAATGGTCGTTTCTCCAGATAACGGTATCTCATATTTTTTAACTTGAAGACTAAGGGCTTCTGCAGTCAAAGTCCGCTGATTGCTTTGATTTATGGCAATTTCAACTCTCTAATTTAAAGACAAATCCTTTGTCCCCTCTCCTCTTGTCTTTACAGTCTTCCTCTCTCCAGATACTTCAACCTGCATTTATGGATTCCATAATTTCATATATCTCCGACTCGGTGCGATGCCTCACTATCTTTAATGCCCTTTCGGCAAAAATGTCTATTTTTAGAAGGGATTTTTAGAATGGTCCTATTAAAAAAAATCAATTACAACTCAAACCGCTTGCGTCTTTTCCCATTGCTTCACTGCGGACGAACTCTCATTGTCCATCATGTCACTGACGATCATGAAAAACACACGAGACAAACAAATCGTGGAAATTAAAAAAAGGGACAAAGTTGATTATCCTCCCGCAGTTTTTAATTGAAAGTTTAAACGTCATAAACTGCAAAGGACTCTGCCAGCTTTCCACAAACAACTGGGACCACGGTAAATGGAACTGCTGATTGAAAACATTCTGATAATCGGCAAATGTTGGTACTGATGGCAAGTCCATTTGACCTTCCAACGAAAACCTACGAGCACATGACCAGTTAACGGTAGCCTGCCTGGATGTAACATAACCTCTAGGGTTGTGATGTTAAGTTTCAAACATTGGTACAGGAATGATCTCTACATTTTCAATAATTGACACACAGCATGCTTATATTGGGGTTGTAATTTATTACCGAGAATCCACCTCCGTATATCAGCAACGACACATACGACCTGGAACACGTGCTCTTGGAATGTTTGTTGGTTTGTAGAGTTTTGAATGACAAGATACACTTCATTGAGCACTGATAAGGCAACATTCTGCCTAAAACTAGGAAAATTTGGGGTCTCAATCTTTTGTTCTTCATTGTTTTTATTCCCCAAAATAGGAGGTTACTGTTGTAATATAAGATGTAAATTGCTTTCCGACTGAACTTGGAGCCGAGACAAGAAGCTATTGCACTCTCCCCTCTGTGGGAAAGAACGCAACTCGAAGACCCAATACGAATCAGCAAATCGCGCAATTACCCAAGCACCGATGAGTTCCGAGCGGTCTCAGACTTCAACCGGCGACTCTCAGCTTACCAAGCAGCGCTAGTCAGCCGTCAACTCGACCCGAGTTCCAGGTTCGCCTGCTGTGTAGCATGCTGATGGGTGCATACCGCTGGCCGCAGACCGTGACGTCATCGCCGACACGACGTCACTGCCGTAATGCCACAAAGTGCGTCCTGGACCCATCCTGGGTTACGGATGTAATTTCTGTGGTCCTTTTGAAAAGTGTTACCATTGTATTATTTACGCCGATCATGAGATAACTGGATACTTGAGAAGGTCCCCAGGAATGGCTGAAGCAATAAGCCGTCTGCTGTACCCAAACTAAAATTAATGTCCCCTCAAAGGCTAAACTCAACAAATTTACGGCCATTACGGGTTACGAGTCCCTATATGAGCGTTCAATAATCCTGTTCTTAGATAAATCTACAGTCATTTCTAAACCAACTCCTCCACATTCACTGTTACCCTTCACTTTCCACATGGAAGTTGCAAATCTATTCACTTCTCTGTGGGCTTATATAAAGTCTTCCCTTTATACACAGATTATGGAAGAAGTAATTATCAAGCCCACAATAATTTCTCTGGCTGTTACTACGTATACAAAAGTGCCCCCACTTTGTAGAACCTGCACGTCGATACTATAGGTGTTAGCTGGTATGTTGTCTCCCTACATACATGTCCAGGCACGGCCAAGTCAGCGAGCATGCTCAGTACTGCGCAAGAAATACATGTCTATTGCCGCCCATTAGTAACGGATAGTAAAACTGAAACTTCCCACATTTGAACTGAAGCATGATTAAAGTCGGTGACTTACACGAGCTTTTCATAGGTTAAAGTGCACTACTCAGGTCAAACCATTCACGAATTATTTCCCGCTAAATCAAATAAATACCAGCTTCCAAATATACCCAAACCACCCATGGGCAGGATTTCATAATATCGGCGTCTAGTTCCCGCCGCTCCGTTGTGCCTTCCTGCCATCGGACGTCAGGGCGTGCACTACGGGACCATACTGTGCTTTGATCAAATCCAGATGATTAGCTGGAAGCGAAAAGAAACGGCTGCCTTTGACCGCAACATATTGCGCAAGCCCCCATGTCTACCATAGACGAGTAAAAACAGCGATTTGGCGGGAAGGGAGAACCGACGCGCGAGTTGAGCACATTTCACACATGCACAACGTCTCCCTTCGACTCGCCATATCCTTGCTGCAGGTTTGACGTTGTTTCCTGCAAAATGATTCAAATTTCTACGTGAAGAACCGATTTCCCATCGAACCAGGAAGATGAACCCTGTTCTCTTCCGTGCAGTAGTGGTATCGTATTATCAAGGTGAAAGGAGTCCTTTTCGGAAGCGCTATACCCTGACACAAATTTACCGCCGTAACAGAAAGTTTTGAGCCACTGCACATGCTGAACTCGAGACACTTCGGGAACTATTATTTCATCACACCTAATTACCAATGGATGACACCCAATGGATGACAATTTTATTGACAATTTAAAATGATTTAGTTACCAGGAACTATAACCATCCAACGCCCACAACAATGAAGTTGTTCATCGGCGGTAAATCATAACCACGTATTTTGAAAAAGCACATTCCCGCCCAAGTCCTAAAATAACATACATCGTCTCCTGCTTGCAAATTCCTCGCCCTCGGTCACTGGCAACAGCCGGACTAATAATAGAATGTGGTATGGTCGGTATGACGTCATCAAGTGAGGAAACCCCGCCGAGGGGTTCACAGAGGCAGAGAGAGTGCGGGATAACACAATGATTCGCACTCAGAAATCTATGCAGCAAATTTCTGCCCTGTTGATGCTGGTGGCTCGGCCCGAGTAAATTTCAAAGGGGAACGCGGCGACTTTTGGTAACAGT